ACTGTATTTTCTGGTTTGGGGCATTCTCTGTCGTCAGTTGTGGTGAGTCTCAGCATTGTGATTGCATTTTATCTTTCAATTGTTGCTTTTGCGGCTGTGCGCTTATGTTATGCTTCACATCTTCTGCATTGCAGGCAAGAGTTGCGGCAATATTTGTATTTGTAACATTCTGCTCACTTTTAAGTATTGCTGGGTTGCCTGCACTGAAGAGAGAAATTAAGGTAATCTTGTTGCTACTTGCATACAAGTATTGCTTTGCAACAATTTGAAAGTTTCCGTTTGATGTGCTGTATTATTTATAAAAGTAAGCATTATTTTTTCATATGGGATGTAGTTAGAATCTGTTCAGCCTTCCCCCCCACCCTTTTTATTTGATGCCCTGTCCTATGCAGACAGCAGCCACTCGCTTTAACACGTGAATTATATGGAGCTTGCTTAATTGAAATTTACAAGCCTAGAAACCTTTTACAATTCTCAAATTCATACTTTTGTTCTTTTCTCAATTTCTCCAGGGAATAATTGCTGGGCTGAGAAGCCCTTGTGACAATTTACTGCTTAAGTCATATATTGTTTCAAGTATAGTAAAATGCTAGCATTCACAGTTTATTTTGACTTTAAAGTAGGACGAGCACTCTATACTTCTCAGCAGCAAAATTGAAGAGGCAAATATGTTTTACATGCTTTTAAGTCTTCTGCTGCTGCTGCTGTTTTTGGTATCATTAGTTTTGACTTTATCAAGGCTTATGTTTTTTATTCAATGGTAACATTCTGCTCTCAAGACCTTTTCAAGGGAATAAACTATTTTGCTGTTTTGCAGATATATGCCTGCGAAAAATCTAACCAGCACTCCAGTGCATTAGTCTTTTTGCTTGGGCAACTCTTCTCCAGCATTCCATTCCTGTTTCTCATGTCGATTTCATCCAGTCTAGTCTTCTATTTCATGATAGGGCTGCGAGATGAGTTCAGCTTATTGATGTACTTTGTGCTGAACTTTTTCATGACTTTGTTGGTGAATGAAGGACTTATGCTGGTCGTCTCTACTTTATGGGAAGAAGCTTTTTGGAGTGTATTGACACTGTTGTGCATACATGTGAGTTCCATTGCCTGCTGATCAGTTTCTGTGTAAAACACTGACAGAACTTAAATGCTGCTCAATTAGTTTATATCGTACGGCATGTCCTATGAACTTAGGCACCGTTGATTACCAAGCATTTCCTAAACTAACCTTCAATGAAAATATATGCTGATTCAGGTGGTCATGATCCTTTCTGCTGGGTATTTCAGAATTCGAGATGCTATGCCTAGACCAGTTTGGATGTATCCAATGTCTTATATAGCCTTCCATACATATTCAATCCAGGCAAGTAGATGTGTTATGGTTGTACGTCCCGCATGGTTGGAAAATTCAACAGGCTGGCTTGTTTATATGTATGTCAATGACAATTTTTCTTTTTACATGGGGCTTTTCTTTGAAAATGTTTAGTGTATTCATATTTGTAGGGGCTATTGGAGAATGAGTATCTAGGCACATCCTTTGCCGTTGGGCAGGTGAGGACAATATCTGGCTTTCAAGCCCTCCAAAGTGCTTACAATATCTCCCCCGACAGTAATTCCAAATGGAAGAATTTGCTGGTTTTGTTTCTTATGGCGGTTGTTTATCGAATTTTCATGTTTTTAATATTATGTTTTTGTATGGGTAGAAAAATATCCATGTTCAAAAGCTTTCGGTGTAATCGAGAGACCACAAATACAAGATGATCATTGTTCATGTGAACCTGTCATTTCGTTTTGCGATCTTATCTTGAAAATTGAGGTGCAAACATGAAGTTTCTTGTCCGATACAGCCGTGCTTGATTTATTCAGAGATCGTTTTTACCTCGGAACTCAACTTTTCCATAAAAACTGTCCTCTTATCTTCTGCTGCGTTCCTTGCTTCATCCTGGATTGCGACCTCTGGATATTTCACGTTTCTCGGAACATCATTACTGTTGAGGGACGTTTAAGCACTTAATTACTTTAGGCATCTTAGTAAGAAACAGTTTACTATTCCTCTGAACTTTCAGACTAGATTTTAACAGCTGCCACCAAAGTGTGATAATGATCTGTGCATATAGATCGGAAGACAAATCTCTACTAGGGAAACTGTTCAACGGTCTCTCTCGATTCCGCTTGATGAAACACTTGAATGAAAATTGACATGATTGATGTGAATTATGATATGCTGCACCTAGTTTGTAGTGGCTGAGCTTGAACCTAATATAACTCATAAGAGATATTGATGGGTTTTAAAGGCTTAGATTGCAATAACTGATTTTCGAGTGTTCGGCATGGAATGGCGATCTGGAACATCCTCGATTTCGGTTATCGACTTCTCCTTTTAACATTAGTTCGTTAATTTATAAGCGTTCTTTCCATTTTCTACTAGTATTTTCTATGCTATATCTCTACATCACATCATTAAAATCAAGGAGTCTTCTTTCATTTTTTATTTTTATAATTATTTTTGAGATGATGTCGAGATATTGCATGAAATATAGTTATCAGTAGAGAATTAAGATCCCATGCTAAATAAAGAATTTTCATGGAATTAATAATAATATATTTTTTGAGAAAATTAGGAGTACATTTTAGGGAAATCACTATGAGATTCTAAAAAAAGAATATAATTACTAACAAGTCTCACAATAAATGAGTAGTATGGATATGTTGTTATTTTTTATAGGAATAATATTTGCGTCAAATTCTTTATATTTCTTATCAAGTTTTTTAATCATATATAGTCATGCTCGCTATTTTTAAAATATTATCATTAGATTATAAACCCACATGAAAAAATAGTACATATAATCATGTATGATTGGAGAACTTGATATATTGAATATAGGAAACTGGATATAAGTATTTTTCTTCTTTTGCAAAAACTTATCATTAGATACAGTTCACTTATTGTAAGACTTTTTAATAATTACATTCATTATTTAAAGATGATTTTTTCTATATTTCAATAGAACTATGAGTATCATCCGTTGATAGCAAAAATTAATTTAGAAATTAATTTTCTTCATGATACACAAGGTAAAAATGAAAATCTTTTTCAACTACTCCATATACAAAGAGTTTAGATACTCTTTTGACTATGCTTCTGCTCTCTCAAGACTTGTTTCGTGAGATATCAAGTATCTACTAGCTTTTTTCTCATTTATTTTTATTTTTACTAGTCATATCCAGCTATTTTAGAGCTTGCGCTCTCTTTCTTCTTGTCCTTGTACTTATTCTGTAATTTAGACTCATTTTATCCAAATATTAAAGGAAAGGACAATTTTTTTTACCAAAGATGAAGAGTAGAATACCAATAAAGAACCTTACTTTGATTCTTCCTCAAAATTCACGCATTGCATATTGGTAAATGGATAGCTTCTTGACCACTTAGATTTTGTCTGTCTATTGTTACGAGGAAAAAGTTCTAAAATGATTGCTTCAAAGTGGAATCAGTGACTATTGAACGTGTTTTTGCCATGAGATGTAGTGACTTAGATATTTAGGTTCCCGACGAAGCATTCCATACTCTTCTCAGAAGATCCATCAATGCATGCCCTACTGTCTTCTTCATCTCTTTCGCGGTGCTCTTGATCTCAGCCCTCGAATTTTCATCCATCGAACCACTCACATCCTCTGATGCCACCTCCTCCTCATCAGCCCACATCAATCGCCCAAGTTACATACTAGAAAATAGACTTTCTTGACCACATAGATTTTCTTTCCAAGAAAAACAAGATCCTTTTATTTAAAAAAAAAAGTTCCAAGATTGGTTGTTACATAGTGCGATTAGTGATTATTGGCCATGTTTTTGACAAAACTTTTGGGTTTCAAATCATTAACGAAGCGTTGCATGTTTTTAGCAGAAGATCTATTTGTCATCGTATCCCTTAGTGTCTTTCACGTCTTTAACACATTGCTCTTCAGCTATGCCCTTACTTCCTTGTCCGTTAAAAGGATCAAGCTTTCCAACACTTCCTCCTTGCTAATTAAGCCACACCAATTTTCCGGGTTAATTCCAATCTTCCAATGATCCCCCACTAGCTTCCGATTAGCAAATTGGACAGTCACTAGTAGGAAGCAGAGCAAAGGCACTTCACTCAAATGCCTTCTAATATTGAACGCCACGCGTAATTAGTCAGAAGCCCCGATTGCAGGGTGAGTAAGCACCTCCATTTTATTACAACAAGGGACTATCATTCCATGGCCATGAACGGCCCCTTCAAATCCCACCAATGGGAAGTGTTAGTCTTAAGAGGAGTCAAGATCCGGTGAAACTATCCAAATAAAGTTCACCTGAGTTAGCAGAAGACCATTTGCGATCTCGCAAAGGTCACTTCTAGGAACAAAGAGAGGGCTACCAACACACACACACACAAGACAGAGTCGTGACACTTGGAAGCTAGCCATGAGATGCAGTCCGAGTTTGACTAGAGGCCGATGGGCACAATCATAGCAAAGTTAAGTGGCATGTTATGTCTAATGGCAAAGAAATATGGGCTTGCAAAGCAAAAATTAAATGGGATTCCAGCTCTACAAAAAATCTGCACGCATGACTTCCTTCAAGGTCTTAGACGTTATTTGGTTCCAGATTTCGGAAGTTTTCCTTCCTTGGATCATTAATGCATGCCCCAATGTCTTCATCTCTCTCGTAACGCTCTTAACTTCTACCACCAATTTTTCATCCATCGAACCACTCACATCCTCTGACACCACCTCCTTCCTCATGAGCCCACATCAATCGCCCAAGTTGCATGCTAGTAAATAGGCTTTCTTGACCACATAGATTTTCTTTATAAAGAAAACAAGTTCCTTTTATCGAAAGAAAGCAAGTTCCAAAATGGATTCCTGTATAATGCGATTAATTCATCTTCAGTAAATACAGTATGTTACAGTAAATTCTCAAGAAAGTTCCAAAATGAGTTGTTATATTCAGCAGATTTTTTGCTCTATATACAAAGATTTTAAGCTCCTCGGACTTTGCTTGTGCTCTCTCTGAGGATGTGTTTGGTGAGATATCTAGCATCTACTTTTCTTTTTCTCATTTTTTTTTCTTTTTTTTACTAGTCATATCCAGCTACTCTAGAGCTTAAGCTGTTTTTGTTTTTGTCCTTATGCTTACTTTGTAGTTTAAACTCATTTTATTCCAACATGAATTTGTCTTTAATTTATAAAAAAGGTACAGAGTTCAATAATAACAACAAATTTTAATTTAACTCTTCCTCAAAATCTGCACATCGCATATCAGTAAATGGAGTGTTTATTAATTACTTGGATTTTCTCTCTCTTATGAGAAAAATAAGTTCCAAGATGCTTGCTTTAAAGTGGAGTCAATGACGGAATGACCATTAGAAGTGCTTCTAGCATGAGATGTAGAGACTTTGGTCTTTAGGTCTCTGACAAAGCATTCCATATTTTTTTTGGAAGATCCATTTGTCATCAATGCGTGCCTCAATGTCTTCTTCATATCTCTCACAGCGCTCTTGAACTCTGCCCCCATTTTTTCATCCATCAAACGATTCACATTCTGTGACACCTCCTCCTTCTTAACCAGACCACATGCATTGCCTAAGTTGATCCCGATCTTCCAATCATCAACCACTAACTTCCGATTGGTGAATTGATCAGTCAATAATGGAAAGCACAGCAGAGGAACCTCGCTCCATATGCTCTCTAATATTGAATTCCATCCACAGTGAGTCAAAAACCCTCCAATGGCCGAGTGAGTCAACACCTCAATTTGGCTGCACCAAGGTATGATCATCCCACGACCATGAATCGCCTCTTCAAATCCAATAGGTAAAGGATGCTGATCTTCAGAGCTCACAACATCAGGTCGAAGCACCCAAAGAAAATTCACATGGGTAAGCAAAAGCCCGTTTGCGATTTCTAAGAGATCACGTTTGGCAACATGGACAGTGCTTCCAAAAGAAATGTACAAGACAGAGGCACGAGGCTTCGAATCGAGCCATTGGGTGCAATCGGATTCGGACCAGAGGCTGGTGGGCACGGTGCTCTTAGTGAAGCCGAGTGGGAAGATGGGTCCGACGGCAAAAAAGGGGACATGGGCTTGCAGAGCAGAGATGGTATGGGGCTCCAACTCCTGAACCGTGTTGCAGAGCACAAAATCTGCACCTCTTACTTCTTTGAAGGCGTTGAAAATTATTTGATGGCACACTGTGGATGTATCCTTTTCTTGCAGATATGACATCATGTCTTTGGGATGGATGGCTTCCACGCCCGGTATATAGTCAATAGAGTCATCACGAGCATCTGACCTCCAAACACATGTACGTTCATGAGTTTAATAAGCAAGAAAATAATGAGACAAGTTACTACAGAACTGCATTATGTGTATTAATCGTTCAGCACATCTTCGTATATTTATGAGTATTATACCCGCAAGTCATGAAGTGATTACGTTATAGCTTACTATAAACAGAAAGACGTATGTATATATAGAAGAGATTAAACAGAGAGATAAACTAGTTACCCTGGCAAGCAAAATGACCATTCTTTCTGAGAAGGTTCATGTGGTAATAGAGAGAGAAAACCAAAGCAGGCTCCGTCCAAAAGGAAACATAAAGGAGGCCAAACTTCTTGGCTATCATGGACGGCCACACAAAGAAAGTGTCGGCGATCAAGCACGTGACCGGGGGCACAGATTGCTTCACAAGCTTCGCCACGAGCTCTTCCACGTGAGCCGAAAACACATGCAACATGGACTGCATAAATTGCTCGTGGTGGAGAGAGTGGTCAAACCCCACCGGAAGTCCGTCGGAAACGGTGGTATAGCGTATGTCGAGGCCGGAATCTCGGACGGCGGCAAAGATGTCGTCCTTGGGGTGGGAAGAGTCGGAGGCGGCTCGAGAGGTGTGGTGGTGGATGGAGTGAGTGTTGACGAAGGTGATGACGAAGCCACATGATGCGAGCTTGATTGCGAGATGGACGGAGGGGATTACGTGACCTAGAGTTGGGTAAGCGAAGAGAATGGCGTGAGGTGGGTGTTGTTCTGGTGAGTTTGGGAATCCCATGCTGCTCTCTGGTATCGTTAATTATAGAGAAGAAGAGTGGGTGGTCTCTTTCATTTGCGGTGGCCAGCCAGCTAGTTGGGTTTTAATTATAAGGAGTGATGTCTGCTGCGGCAGCAAGTAGCAAAACGAGTGAGGTGGATTCCATGTGGATCTGACATGTTCAGAATAATCAATTTGTGGTTGGTGGCATGTGGATACCTCTGCAATTTCCATAGAAATTAAATATCCCCCCAGTTGTTAAATTAATAATTATGAAGCAATTTGTTTGCTTAACGGCATCAAATCTATATTCTATCTATGCTATATATATCATTCACCTCAATATTTTATAAACATGTGATGTCCTCACTTCTATACATGATAATAATTGTCGCATACTCCTCTAATCCTATTTATAAGTCACTCTCAACATGCTTTACAAATTTAAACACAATAATAAATAAAAAGTAAAATTGTACATCTATACAAAATTTTTTTCTCAATAACTATAAATAGGACTAAAAAATATTTTCTCTCTCTTCCCTGTAAATAAGATCAAAGGAATATTCTATTAGATGAGATGTGCATGTATTGTCATTATATTAATTGGTCGCCTCAGGACGCGATCCCTCTTCCAGTTAAAGGAAGAATACCTAATATTAATAATAATGGTGCCACTTACTCTTCCCATCACTTCCATTTACAAGTTACTTTCAATCTTATACTATATCAACTCTCTATTAAAATATAGTAACTTTGTAGTTTTACTTCATTTAGTATATACACCTTTTAAAAAAATAGTTATCTATACTATAATAAATAAATGACAATACAGTATATTTACAATAAAAATTTAATAAATTAATTTATAAATAAGATTAAAAAAATCTTTTCCTTTTATCATATAAATAGGATTAGAGGGGTAGTCTCCAACCACTCAGAGTTTTCCCGCTCGTTTTAAGTCTTGACACAGGCTGGCTCTAGCTAAGCTGGCCCGACATATAATGGGAAAACTGTGAATTCCAAGAAGCTTACCTTAATGTACAATTAATAGAGAATTATATGCAAAAAAAAAAAAAAAAAGTTGATGGAAACTAAGAGCTGGCCCCCTCTTGCTCTTCTCCGAACCCAGCATCTTACGATGTCTATTCTCATTATTGCCAGAATTATAGTCGTTTTGTTATTTGGCATTTTGGCCACTATTATAAAAACACGAGATGGTACGTAACCCTTGATTGAAAAAACATGAAGGGTTGAACATTACGAAACCTTTTCGTGCTCATTAAATTTGGTTTGTCCACATTTAATACACATGGTTTAAATTTAATTTTTTTAATGAGTATAAAATCCAAAATAAAAAATAATTTTTAATTTAGAAATTAAATTTTTAACGAAGGCACGTGCTTGGCATGCCTTGCGTGATTGCGTCCCTGTAGTTTGATTCCGTAGTGGGTCGTACGGAGTTGGCCACTAGCTGTTTGTATTTTGTTGGATGTCATGACCCAAGAGGCAGTAAATGGGCTGGAGAATATCAGTAATGGGCCGAGTAGGAGACGCAGCCGAAGAGTTAGGAAAGCCTCATGGAAATTAAGAGAATAAATAGCATGGAGTGAGGGGAGTGAGGACAAGGAATATGACGTGACTTCTTTCTTTCTGTATCTGTGATTTCCTTTTTCCCTGTCTGGACCACACTGTGGTATTTTCTGTTATCCTCTGCTATTCTCTGACCATTCGGTTATACGTATCTTTTGGTTACCATTGTAATCCCGGAGTAACCTCTGGCCTTTTGATTGCAATAGAGTTATTCATCTCATACAGTAAATTGTTGGTTTATTAGCATCTGAAAGTGTGACCATAACAATTTGGTGCTTTCATTGAGAGTCGACGATGGCGGAGGCTACCAGATTCAAGGACATGCAAGCTGAGTTCAAGGCGGTGTGCGAACAGATGAAACACCATGAATCAAAGATCACCGAGACGATCCAGAGTTTGGGTGACATTGTTAAGCAGCATGAGCTGAAGATATATAAGCAAGAGACCAATAATACGAGCAGGTTGAATCGAATCGAGGCAGCCATTGAAGCGATGGTTCAATCCCCGGATACACGGTTTGAAAAGATCGATAAGTTGGAGGCTGCTTTCGCCGGGATGAGTAAGGAACTAGAGCTCCAGCAGCGCAATACTGAGCGTATTAATCAATTGATGACGTCAGGTGGGTCAACGATAGAGATGAATTCATTTGCAGGAGGGTCACACGGACAGCCATATCATTCTAGACAAATGAAGATTGATTTTCCAAAATTTGATGGGACTGATCCACAGAACTGGATATTTCGAGCAGAACAGTACTTTACGTACTATGAAATATCAGAACCACACCGTCTGGTCTTGGCAGCTATCAACATGGAGGGAGACGTCATTCCCTGGTTCCAGTTACTCCAAAAGACAAAGGTGATTTACAACTGGGCTTCATTAACTCGAGCCCTGGAAGCAGAGTTTGGGCCATCGCTGATGGAGCAGCCTAGATCAAAGCTCTTCAAGCTCATGCAGACTCATTCGGTGGAGGAATACTGCAGACAATTTATGGCTTTAGCGAATCGAACCGAGGGAGTATCTGATGATGCATTGCTGGACTGCTTCACGGGAGGACTCAAGCCAGAAACCAGGAGGGAGGTGATAGCGAGACGACCTCCAAATCTGCAGAAAGCCATTGAAATTGCGAAACTATTCGACAACCCTGAGACGACGGTCGGAACAAAGACGAGAAATGCACTAAGTCCCCAGGGGGTCAGCACCAAGACCGTGGGGCCAACGTCGAGTGGGTTTAATACAAGAAACTCTGCCCCGCCTCTGCTGCCTACGCCGACGACCAAACCACTCGGTCCTATAAAGAAGATGACCCCTGCGGAGATGATGATTCGGAGAGAAAAGGGGTTGTGCTATACGTGTGATGCGAAGTTTACACCCGGGCATAGGTGTCCCAACAAGCAGTATATGATCATTGACTGCGACGAAGAAGAGGGGCACGGAGAGGGACCAGATGCATCTTTTGGAGACGGTGTGGGAGAGGGTCAGGAGGAACCCGTCTCTATCCATCATTTATCACTCCAAGCGTACCATGGGTCACCTGGTAAAGCCACAATCAGATTTGAGGGAAGGTTGAGGGGAGAGAGCGTTCAGATCCTTCTGGACGGGGGGAGCTCTGACAGTTTCATCCATCCCCGAATTGCGAGTCATTTGAAGCTGTCTATAGAGCCTGTCCAACATGTACGGGTGATGATAGGAGATGGAAACTCAATGAAGGGGGAAGGTATTGTGAAGAAAGTGGTGGTGTCGATACAAGGACACCAGCTCGAGTTTCCTGCTTTTGTGCTACCAATTGCAGGATCTGATATTGTGATCGGGGCTTCGTTGCTAGCGACGTTGGGGCCTCACATAGCCAACTATGCTATAGGAGACTCTTATATCAAGTTTTATAATAATGAAGACTTCATAACCTTGCGTGGCACCAACCGAAGATTGACATATCGAGCCGAATACCATCAACTTCAGAGGATGGTTGATACCGATGCTGTGCTAGAATGCTATTTGCTGCAAATGGAAGCCACTACGCTGACAGGCAAGGTAAGTGTTACGGAAGAGGCTTTGTTACCCGACGATATGCAGCACCTTGTGAATAAGTATGAGGGGGTGTTTCATAAACCCCATGGATTACCACCTCCCAGAGAACAGGATCACCGAATAGTTTTGGCGGAAGGAACCAGCGCAGTGAAGGTAAGACCATACAGGTACCCTTACAGTCAAAAGGCCGAAATAGAAAAAATGGTGAATGAATTATTAGACGAAGGATATATTCAGCCAAGCACCAGTCCGTTCTCTGCTCCAATTATATTGGTTAAAAAGAAAGATGGTACTTGGCGTTTTTGCGTGGACTACCGCGCTCTGAATGCAGTCACTATTAAAGACTCATTTCCCATGCTGACTGTGGACGAGTTGCTTGATGAGTTGGGCGGTTCAGTGTTTTATACTAAGTTGGACCTACGTTCAGGATACCATCAAGTGCTCATGTATCCAGAGGATAGGGAGAAAACTGCTTTTAGGACCCATCAAGGATTGTACGAATGGGTTGTAATGCCATTTGGGTTGTCAAATGCCCCTGCCACATTTCAAAGCCTTATGAACTCAGTCTTTCAGCCTTTCCTACGAAAATTTGTTTTGATTTTTTTTGATGATATCTTGATTTACAGTCCATCATGGCAGCAACACTTGGAACATGTGGAACGGGTTCTTGAGACGATGGTGTTTCACCGGCTATTTGCGAAGATGTCTAAGTGTACTTTTGGGCAGACTCGAGTGGAGTATTTGGGACATATCATCACTGCCTCAGGGGTTGAAATGGACCCACAGAAAATAACTGCAATAACACGGTGGCCGGTTCCTCAGGATGTGGGGCAGCTGAGAGGGTTCCTCGGTTTGACTGGATACTATAGGCGTTTTGTCAAGCAATACGCTAACATAGCATGCCCTTTGACCAAGCTTTTACAGAAAGATGGCTTTAAATGGAGTGAGGAGGCTCAGCAAGCATTCGAGCGATTACAAACAGCTTTGGTGCAGGCTCCATTACTAGCATTACCAGATTTTTCGAAGCCCTTCATACTGGAAACTGATGCCTCTGGGAGAGGAATAGGTGCTGTGTTGAGTCAAGACGGACACCCGATTGCGTATTTCTTGAAGCAGATGTCACCAAGGATGCAGGCGCAATCTGCTTATGTCAGAGAATTATTCGCGGTTACTCAAGCCGTAGCCAAGTTTAGACACTACCTGATCGGTCATCATTTTGTGATACGGACAGATCAGGAAAGCTTAAAACATTTGAAGGGGCAAGTGATACAAACTCCAGAGCAAGAAACGTATTTACCGAAGCTTATGGGCTATGATTTTTCAATTGAATATAAACCGGGGAAGACAAATCAGGCGGCAGATGCTCTGTCTCGAATTGCACATATGGCTTTGATTCAAATTCAGTCTTCATTGATGGAAGAAATTCGACAAGCAGCTCGTACCTCACGCCATATCCAAGACGAGATAGTGAAGTGTGAACAACACCCTGAAACGATGATCGGGTATTCGGTGAAAGATGGTTTATTACTGTGGAAGGGACGACTGGTAATACCTCATGAGTGTGCCGAACTGATTCACCGTCTCCTGCTCGAATTTCATTCTTCGGTGATAGGAGGACATGTTGGTGCATTTCGAACTTTTCAAAGGCTAGCTAGGCTGTTTCATTGGTCTAACATGAGAAGGGACGTAAAGCGCTTCGTAAGACAGTGTTTAGTGTGTCAGCAAGCCAAACATGTACAAACTCATCCTGCGGGGTTGCTGGCTCCATTACCCATTCCCAAGGCTGTATGGGAAGATATTGCTATGGATTTTATTGTGGCTTTACCGGTCATTAGGGGCTATTCTACCATCTATGTGGTTGTTGACAGGTTAACCAAATATGCACATTTTATTCCCTTAAAAACATCATTTACAAGTCAACATGTGGCTGATGCTTTTATTCAGAATGTGGTTCGGTTACATGGTTTCCCTCGAACCATTGTTTCAGATAGAGACCGTGTTTTTATTAGCTCTTTCTGGAGGCAGCTGTTCAAATTACAGGGAACGGAATTGCGCATGACATCAGCGTATCATCCTCAAACAGATGGGCAGTCCGAAATCCTAAATAAATGTGTAGAAATGTACTTGCGATGTTTCGTATTTGAGTGCCCACGTCTGTGGCTAGACTATCTTCCCTGGGCGGAGTATTCATATAATACTTCTTATCACACTGCTATCGGTATGACCCCCTTCAAGGCACTTTATGGACGTGATCCTCCTCACCTGTTGGCCGCTGCGCTCTCCGATGAGCTACCCACAGATCTGTATCAATTGCTTCAGTTACGAGACGATATATTAGCCACACTGCAGCGAAACTTGCAGAAAGCTCAGGCTAAAATGAAGAAGTTTGCTGATAAAAAGAGAACTGACGTCCACTTTGACGTAGGTGACCTGGTATTTGTAAAATTACAACCGTATCGACAGCACTCCCTGGCCCTTCGGAAACACCAAAAATTGTCCCTCAAATATTTCGGTCCCTTCGTGGTTGAACAGAAGATTGGCTTTGTCGCTTACAAATTGCGGCTTCCGGAATCGGCAAAGATACACCCTGTTTTTCACGTTTCACTACTCAAGAAATGTGAGAATGATGTCGCAACACCGTGTGTTCCTCTGCCCCTTCTCACCGAATTAGAAGGACCAATTTTACAGCCCATCGAAATTGTAGAGAGCCGGAACGTGCAACGGGGAGGTACATGGATTCAACAGATCTTAGTGCAGTGGCAAGGAGGTGACTCACCTACCTGGGAAGATCTGACCGAGTTCCAACGGTCATATCCTACATTCGACCTTGGGGACAAGGTCGCGGTCTCAGAGGGAGGCAATGTCATGACCCAAGAGGCAGTAAATGGGCTGGAGAATATCAGTAATGGGCCGAGTAGGAGACGCAGCCGAAGAGTTAGGAAAGCCTCATGGAAATTAAGAGAATAAATAGCATGGAGTGAGGGGAGTGAGGACAAGGAATATGACGTGACTTCTTTCTTTCTGTATCTGTGATTTCCTTTTTCCCTGTCTGGACCACACTGTGGTATTTTCTGTTATCCTCTGCTATTCTCTGACCATTCGGTTATACGTATCTTTTGGTTACCATTGTAATCCCGGAGTAACCTCTGGCCTTTTGATTGCAATAGAGTTATTCATCTCATACAGTAAATTGTTGGTTTATTAGCATCTGAAAGTGTGACCATAACATTGGACGATGCAATTACGAATGAATAATCGCGAGGCATATAATTGTACGTTGAGACAGAAGCCATCTGAGACGGATTCATGGGTGTGCCCACTGCCTTGGAACGCACAAGCGAAGAGAGGTCCAAGCGTCTTGCCCTGTCCACCCCATGTTCCCCCGCGTGTGTATGTTTGTTTACCAGCCCACGACCCTCTGCCCAAAACGCGTGACCTATTTATCACCCAGCAATATGTTTTTATTTCCCATTATTGTTCCCCATCGATCTTATTGCAATTCTTAATTTAAATATCAAGATAAAAGCGTGTGTTAGGGTTTTTCTGTTGTTTTATTACCCCCTGTAATGTAATACTACTTTGTCTTTCATATTTACTTAATTTTTTTCAAGATAGTCTTTCTAATAATTGTAGTTCTAGCCAATATAGTTGATTAGTAATGATATTTTAGGAAAGACAACACTTATTTATTACAAATAACTAACTTAACTTTTTTCTTTAATTTCCTCAAATTAGTCAACTGGGTCTTATAATTAGGACCAGAGGTAGTATAACATAATGTAATTTAAACATGATTTCATAGGAAGAAACTTTAGATGTTCTTCCATTATGAAGCAGCCGGCTTATATAATTGATCAGTTTTTAAATTCTTGCTTGTTAAAAGGAATTTAAAAAAGTGTGCTCCTATTGATAAATCATGAATATGATGACATTGGACGGTTATTTTATACAGTATTGTTTATAAAATTTAAAATATAAATTGATTTTTTTTTTCAAGTCCCCTTTCCCCGATAGAGAAATCAAACTCAACAGGTTATGCATCCAAGAAACTAAAGAAAAAACATTATTTGGGCTTTGACCCCTTATGCATCCAAGAAAAAGAGGGTCTGCAGGAAAAGCTAGAGAAAACAAAGTTTTTTCCCCTTCTTTGTTTAAAAAAAAAAAAAAAAACAGAGAGGCAAATTTGAGAATCAATTTCGCCTAGGTTACCAAAACCTTGTTCGGCTTGCAAACCCAAATGGCTCATACTCTATTTACATCTGATTCTATGTGGTTGTACATACCAACAACGCAAAACACTCATATGTTATTATTCAAAAAGTATAATACTCCTTACTAGCAACATTGTCAGTTACTTCAGAGCTTAGGCTCTCTGTGTTTTTTTTTTTTGGGGGGGGGCTTCATACTCTGCATTTTATTCTAATATGAATTAGTTTTTTTTTTTTATCAAAAACAATACAAAGAGTTGAATACTAATAATAAGAAACAACTTATTATAAGCTCACATCCACTCTCATGTATATAAAGGCTTGTAGTTTTTAAAAGTTATATATTATCCATTGTACAATAATATCTGCCATAGTTTTTTTAAAAAAAAAAAAAAAATAAGTCCCTTAGCAGTGATTTTCTCTGGACAAGTTTTTGCCGCTAGACTTGGAGACTTTGACCTTCAAATCCGTAATAAAGCATTCTAGATTTTTTTTTTCCAGAAGATCCATTGCTTGTCAACGCACCGAAGTTTCTCATCTTTTTTAATATTTTTCCTAAATTCTCCTCACCATTTTTTATCCATCCAACGGCTCGCATTTTTCGATATCTCCTCCTCCCTTATCAGCCCACATCGATCACTCAAGTTGATCCCGATCCCCCAATCATCAACCACTAGCTTCCTATTAGTAAATTGATCTGTCAATAAGGGAAAGCACAGCAGGGGAGCCTCACTTCACATGCCCCCCAATATTGTATTCCACCCACAACCACAAGGAGTCCAAAACCCTCCAATGGCTGGATGCGTCAACACCCCAATTTGACCACACCAAGGTATGATTATCCCACGGCCATTAACTGTCTCATCAAATCGAAGGAGCAAAGAACGCTGACCTTTGGAGCCATGGCATCGGGTGGAAGCACCTAAATGAAGTTCATGTTGGCAAGCAGAAGCCCATTTGCTATCTCCACAAAAAAGTGTTTGGGAAGATGAAAAAGTATTTTTCAAAAGCATTTTTTTACCAAACAAGATAGACTCTTCCACATATTTATTTCGTATACCGTAAAAATATTTTTAAAATCATAACTTAGCTCCTGTCTAAACACCCCCCAAAGTGACGCTTGGCAATTATGGGCATAGCTTCCGAAGGACACGTATAATACGGAGACATGAGGCTTGGTAATGAGCCAATGGGTGCAGTCGGACTTAGACCGGTGTTTGAGCCTGCAAACCTGTGAGATGCATGGGCCTTAGTGAGGAGAAATAACGAAGAAGCAGAACTTTGATTTAACCCCGAGAGAAAATGAAGAAAAAAACTAGAAAAGTATATATATATTTTATTTGGACGAGAGAATAAAAGTGGGAGACTAAAGAAAAATTGGGGGAGAATTTATCTCCAACTCTATGGAGAAAAATAAGAAGAAAATTTATTTTAGAAGTATAGGCAAGCTGTACAAAATTCTTCGAAAACAATGTTATATCTCGTTCAAGATATATAATAAAGACGGTGGCTTCGGAACCGCGACCACCACAATTGGACGGCGGACTGGAGAAACATCACTACCTAGAAGACTTTTCTTTTTATTAGGGTTGAACTTGAAACTGCCAATAAACACGTGTTTTTTTTGGTTTTAATGTGCATATGTTCGGATTGTTTATACAAATTATTTTTTTTAAATAAATTAATAGTATTACAACCCAAGCCTCTATAATTTTTTATTTTTGAGATAAAACTAAGAAGGAAATCAAGGGATGTGTATTTGTAGTTATGCAGTTTTATTCAACTGAAGTCTTTCATTGTTTAAAAACAAAAAGGAATAGTTTAGCCTATAAGGTGTTCTTTAAAAAAAAAAAAAAAACCGAAGAAGAATGACGTGCCGTGCAAAGTTCTGCGGTTGAGGTTGGCCGGCCCATAAGGGTGAACCGTTGAAAAATGAAAAGCGCGGGTTTGACGGCTGACCTCGGGCGGGCGACCCAGTCATGGATCGTCCAGTTGAAAGGCAGGATTGTCAACAAGGATGCCAGGCCCAGCCATGATGAAACCCACAGGATGAGCACATTCTGTCTCATCCTTCGTGATCTAGTTCTCATCTAACCAACCTCTCATCAGCAATCAACAATGATCTTTATAAAATTCGTGATCTAATTCTAATCTAACCAACCCCTTTCCTATGTTTCTCACTTTTGTCTCTGAGCTGAGATAGGGGTCATGCGACTGCCTGTCTCATCTCTTCCCGCGTAAACCCTTCTTCCCTCCTTCTCGTCTGTGATCCTTGTCGTCCCCAAGTTTTCATCCTTCAGATGGGGACCCTGTCTTCTCTCACGATGTCGTCCTTCTTCACCGGCGAGAGAGCTGTCGTCCTCTTCTTCATCTCTCTCATCCTCTGCTCCCTCCCCTTCTCTCTTCTTTCCCACGCCCTTACCCTCTCTCTCCTCACTCTTGCCTCCCTCTTCCTCGAGATCCGCTTTGAGGCACCCAATTCTCTCTCACTTTTCCCCACTCGGTATGCATCACCTTCCCCTCTTCCTCAATTCCCCTGCCATCCAATTCTACTGAATTTCATGTCCCATGCCCTCTTAATTTATTTATTTTTTACATCCCACCATCTCAATTATCGAATGGATGCTTGGCATTAAGTCTTAAACTTGTTTTTCTTTCAGGCCTGGTGCCTCATCTGGCATACTGCTTGGGACGGTCACTCTGCCGGCGGTCATTCTCTCAAAGATGATACAGCTATCAAGAGGATTGTCGTTGGGTGAAGTTAAATTTGAAGGTATTAGCTTCCCGAATAATAATAAATTTAATCACTTTGGGATTTCAATGATGCGTGATTCGAGGGAATCAGCTGCTTGCCTGCTTGGTTCCGTAACTGTTGAAATTCTTATCAAATAAAAAAAAAATGCCCTGTTGAAATTCAATATTCAATATTATTAAAATTTGACTAAATTTTATGGTTTGCGCATGTTTTTATGACCTTGTGACTGGATTGCCTTCTGGTTCTCTTAAAACTACCAGCGCCTTGCTTTTGTTCTGTCTACTTCAGGAAGATAAAAGTTATAATTTTGACAATGTAAATACAAATATTCCGTTTTTTTCCCTTATATAGAGCTTCACTATCTGACATTGCAATACTGGGCAACGTCTGCCAGCAGCGTGGGTGTACTGATATTCCTCAGCTTGAGTCTGCGGCATGCACCATGTTCACGGAGTGATCGGGTTTTAAAGTTCAGCTTATGCTTCATGTTCTTACATGCTGCATTGTGCTGTGTGTCCCTTGCTACAATATATCAAGGTGGTGATTTTTTTTTACAAAAAAAATTTACATGCATGCTGGGCCTTTCCATACAGCCTAATTTGTTGAAAAGAAAAGGTTCACGTTTGCGCATTACTTGGGCAGAAAGTCCTTTTAAATAGACATCCACTAAACTCCCAATTACTCTTTCATACAGACTTGCACCCAGCACTAAAACTGTCCTGGTTCGTTTGTCACGCATTGGCAGCAGTGAAGTTAATTCAGCATTTTCTCACAACTTTTCCATCTTGTGCTTCCATTGGTATGCTTAGATGTTTCAGTCAGGAATTCTAGTTGGTACTTTGACTCTAAATTATAGTTTTGTCAGAAGGGGAAGCAAGATAGTTTCTATTGAGCTCTTTTTATAATTCATGAATTTTTCTGAATTTGATGGGAGTCATTACTCTTCCAAGCAGTAATGTATACGGGACAGTAAAAGTGTGAACTATCCGAAGCAAACTTCCCAGTATAGAGGGGTCTTTTAACATGGGATGATGAGCAATTTTTTTTTTTTTTGGGGAGTATAAACAAGATGAGCAAAACTTTCTTATTACCTAACCTGACTCAGGTGTGGTAGCATTAGTTTGTTCATTTTTTTACGGAAAAAATATGTATAAAGGTTCTATTACCACCAACATATAATCATATCTCAGGATAGTTGTTTGGTGGATCAAGGAATAATTTGTTGTTTTTCTTCTGTTCTTAGGGGAGGCTCTTCTTGTGACTTCAGGTATTGTTCTATATTTTGGTGACATGTTATTGCGTACGATGGAAAAGGTTAGTGTTTCTATACGAAACCATATTGATTGCAGACAAATTAGATGAATATATACTTAATTTCTGGTGATTACCTTATTTATGCAGCTATCTGGACTTTCGATGTCATTGGAGTTGCATCCTACAGAATATGGAATTAATCGAAGTGAGATAAGCACTTTTATTCAGGTACGAGTTCTTAACTAATGAATTTGATGATAAACTTTATGTCTAGATCAATAAAGGTTGTCACTCCTCTTTCAGGGATTGTTGCTTGGCCTTCTGCTGTATTCATTAGCTTTCAAATATATTATTCAAATAGGGGAGTGGTTCATCAAAGCTGCTTCTGCTGAAACAAGATACAATGAGATTGGAAGATCTCTTGTATTTTTTGCTTCCCTTGGATTTGTCATGATTGTGATTGGACCATCATGGATGCAGTTTGTTCAGGAGTTTCATGTGCATCCCATTTTTTGGTATGAAATCAATATCTGGTTCATTGGCACTTTTTCTGATGATTACTGGTTTTTGGATGTCATGTGTGTTAAGTGGCATCGTGAACGTGTGGTGGTAATTGTGGGTTGTTAGGAGTTAGGAAGTATAGCTCTTATCAGTTGTATGTTAAACAAGTATATTGTATTTGTCATGCTGATAATCCCAATATGAGATTGCATGACTTACTCGGACTTTCAATCTTGTATGGAAGTTTAAAGCGTAACTAAAATAGTAAAATTTATACGTGATATTTTGTTTGTACCATGCAACCTGTATTTGTATGGAGATAAAATGGCAGTGGAAATGGTTAGGCCTAATCCAACTAGGTCTATAACTTGGGAAAATTTGTAGTAGTCTTGTCCTTCAGAGTTATGTTATATAAAAAGAAATCTTTGCCAACTGGTTGACATGGAAATTAGGAAGGCGGTCTCAGCTTCAATTCTCACTGACAACTGTTGTGTTTATCATCATCTTTTTTCATTGATATTGTCATATCACTAATTCTATTCTTGCAATATCTTTTGCAGGGTTTTTTCTTTTGTATTTTCGGAGCCTGTCAAAAGACTGTCATTATGTATATATTGGGTGTGTGTCATCTGCTTTTCTGTTTTGCGATTCTATAACATTTCAAGAAGCAGTAAGATTGAGAGGATTCTTTTGCGGAAATACTACCATATGTTAGCTGTCTTGATGTTTTTGCCTGCTCTTATCTTTCAGGTGATTTCTTGATGGCTTTTTTTTTTTTTGGGGGGGGGGGGGGGAGGGGTTGTAAGTATTATGATGAGCAGTGCATTAGCTGTGTGTCAGACATAATGCTCAATTTACTTACTGCTCTTTTTGCTTTCAGCCAGAGTTTCTTAATCTAGCTTTTGGTGCAGCTTTGGCGGTTTTTTTGACTTTAGAAATTATTCGGGTAAGTATCTAGACTCTCCTTCAATGGAGCGTATTACTTGTCACAGAATTGGTGCTCATTGCTAGCAATTGATTACAACTAAGTGTCAGTATGTGGTTTGAGTCCAAACAAAGCAAGCTATAAGGTTCCAGCACTGCTATGATGACCACCAATGCTTTTAAAACCGGACGACCACTGAATTGGTGGAGGAATTTTTACTATATGAGAGGATAATGTTTCGTGAAATAATCATTAAATTGTCATCACACTTTTGGTTTGGATTTCTAGAAATTGTACTCAAACTTTTTCTAAACAACTATAAAGATTTTGGTGTTTGTAGCTTAGGAATGGGGTATTGGTAAACGAATGCAGACTCTTAAGCCTTGGCTCAAATGATGCTTAAGCAAAATGTGTACTGTATCTTCCTCTGATGTTGACTGATGCAATTACGGAAAATATTCAGTGCGTGTTAGATTGAATATTTAGAATGCCTTAATTTCTAGATCAGAACTTTCCTTCTTTTCCCTTCCCAATTGCAAAGGTTCTAGTATTGTGACAATGCTTCCTAAGAGTAGGAACTTAGTTCTGTCAAATGTTTCAGAGAAGGCTAATTGGTTTTGCACTTATGATTACATATTTATTGTTGGCCGTTGCACCAACATTATTTGACTCAGGTGTGGAGAATTTGGCCTTTGGGACAACTGGTGCATCAATTTATGAATGCATTCACTGACCATCGTGACTCTGATCTCCTTATTGTCAGGTATTGCATGTCTTTTTCCCGTACTATCAAACTGTAAGGCATATATTGTTATGTGTATAAGAGTTCCTGCTTCTGAGCAATACCGTTACATGATCTAATGTTCTTTTTTCAGCCATTTCTCACTCTTACTGGGCTGTGCACTTCCTATTTGGATGTCTTCTGGGTACAATGATCGACCTCTAGCCCCTTTTGCAGGAATATTGAGTTTGGGAATTGGGGATACAATGGTAAACTTAATCTTTTTTGCTATTTGGCTTAAGTTGTTGTCTTTGCGTTGTTTGATTCTTCATTTGCGCTAGTCTAGGGATAAATGTTAACATTGCACACGTACATGAGTGAGGTTGAAGTAAATCAGTACGTCACTGCTGCTTTAATTCCAATTGATTGTTGATCGTGTACCCTTGCTTCTTTATGATGTTAAGGCTTCAATGGTTGGGCACAAGTATGGTGTTCTGAGGTGGAGTAAGAGTGGCAGTAAGTATTTTGTTCAGTAGTGAATACTGATCTGTACCAGAATTTTCCGGTATGACGAGAATGTTCTTCCAATTTGCCAGAGAAAACTATTGAAGGTACGGCCGCTGGTATCACATCTGTCCTGGCTGCTTGCTCATTGCTCCTTCCACTCTTAGCGTCAACGGGACATATTCTTACCCAGGTATCTCGCTCTCTCTCCCCCCCCCCCCCCCCCTCTCTCTATATCTGTGTTTTTGTGAGTTTGACGGTAATATCGGTTCCTTCCGCCAATATGCATATGCATGCTGAAGCTTTCTGGCTAACTCGATCGGACTTGTTTAAGATAACACGGGATGTTTTCATAGCTCACTCTACTTCTAGCTGATGTCTTCTTTACCAACTGTTTGCAGCATTGGTTCTCTCTACTAATAGCTGTGACCGTAAGTGGTTTGTTGGAGGCCCACACCGCACAGCTTGACAACGCATTCATACCACTTTTCTTCTATAGTCTTCTCTGTTTGTAGATGCAATTCCTTCCTCCCCAAAATAAAGTTGCCTTGGATGAGCAGCGACGGAATCCAGCGGAACCCTTCAAGATTTCTCATGACGAGCTTTCTCTGCTTACATTCTTTTTGTGTATATGTTCATGTATCAACTAATGCAGCGGTACTGACACAGAATGCTAACAGAATTACGTTATAGCAATATAATTCTTGATAGTTTAGGCTGATATAAACAATAGGGTTTTATCTTACAGAAGTGACGTGGATAGTTTTCTGCATATGGTAGACCATATAGACAACTTCTTTCAAAGAAATGAGATGATATGTGGCTTGGGGAAGAGTAGACTAGAATGTAGAAAGCGGTTGAACATCTAGCTAACTTGATCTGAAAGAATTTTGTCTACCTTTCATTTCTTTTGAATGGCCATGATGGCTTCTTGGTGATGCATGTTTGCACCCACTATTAGTGGAAGCGTCCACATGGGTGGTTGTTGCAAAATGTTGCGATGTTACCCTAAATGGCTGATTCATGTCAGCCTCGTATTCCTCAGGGGATTTAGAGTCACCGAGGAGCAAACCTTTTTTTTTTTTTTGGTCGGTGGTTATGAGGAGCAAAGATTTTATCAGGTTTGGATTGGATCCACTTCAGGTTCTTCCTTCCCTGAACTCCGTTAGAATAATTTTTTAAAGGAAAAATAGTGTAAATTTCTAAAACACGGAAAGACTGTAAATTATATAATATATATAATGAATTCTGTATAATTAACAACCTATGAACAATGTAACTTTTTCTTTAAAAAAATGAAACTGTTACTTATATTTTAAACTCAACGAAATGTATGAAGAAAATGTTTTATTGTGGATGTATTTACATATGTATTATATCATAGGGATCTAGTTTCCGTGCTTCTAAGTATTTTAAACTTATCAGATATGAGCTGTTAATATTTTATTTAAATGGTTTAGATTTAATTTTTTTTATATTTTTATTTGTTCAAAATAATTATTTTAATATGTATAGGATCTAAAATAAAAATAATTTTTTAATTATTATATTTTAAAAAATATTTTTTATTTAAAAGTAATTAATTAAAGACTTTAAATTTGAACCATTCTCAGTTTAGATTTAATGAGTTTAGAGTTTAACATTCCGTGGAAAATTTAGGACCCCTCAAAAAAAAAAAGAAACAAAAAACTGCCAACTGGGGTCTAATAAGAAATAAGGATTTAGACCACAAATTACGCAGCATAACGCATCGATGAGATATATCAGGTCGAAGTCCAGCCTCACAAATTTATCTGTCCATTGGATGTTATCCGGAAGTAGAGAATGATTAGCGAAGTTTTAATTTCGGACTCTTAGCTTTGGACATGAAAGCCCCAAAAATTTCGTCTTACTCGCATGTCAATTTCAGAACAATCGAAACATTCATCAACAGTAGAGTTTTATAATTTGAATACTCATCACTTTAATAAGTATTCTAAACTTATCAGATTTAGATTGTGTACATTTGATTTGACTGATCCAAATTTAAAATATTTAATTAATTATTTTTAAATAGAAAAAATTATTTTTTGAAAAAATGATAGTTAAGATATTACTTTTATTTTAGATTCTTTACATATTAAAATAATTATTTTGAACAAACAAAAATGAAAAAGAAATCAGATCTGGACTATTCAAATGAGATATGAACAATCCAGATCTAATAAGTTTAAGATGCTCATCAAGAAGATGAGTATTGAAATTGATTCAGTTTTATACGTAGGAAGCATTCCAATTTTCTAAAGAACGAATTTTAGGATACCTATATTTCACTAAAAGTAAAATACCATGACAGAGCCAAAAAAAAAGGGTGATGGTGGCACAAGGAGGTGACCGGTCGGATCAAGTTGTGTGTTGGAAGGACTCGAATTAGCTCCAATATGACTGATCTTGAAGCCTCATGTGTTCCATATGCGCAATTAATGTATCAATATATAATTATACACAAGTCTGTGCTACCAACAAATATGAGTCACATCAAATTCAGTACAAACCACGCGTAAAATGCATCACTCTTCCATTTCCATAAGTTGCAGTTGCAGCAATTATCCCCTCTGGGTTTTGGATGGATTTCCAAAATCCAGTAAAAATGAACTATAACTGATAAATTGCCCAAGACAGATGAACTCATTTGTTTGTCTATAAAGTTGCTTCTTTTAATTGAAGAAAGGGCATGGTGGAGCAAAGTTATGAGTATAAACACTACTACTTTCTATCCAAAATATAATATCTAGTTTATAATGTAATTTACTCTATAAACTAAATCTTATATTCATGACAGAGAGATTGAAGAATTCTTAGAAAAAGATAAAATGCACCGATTGTAAAAGAATACAATAATGAGTGCGATTGGGTTGAGCCCAGGCCACTATTTCCAAATTGGGTACGAACGAATTAAATGCGGGACGACTGTGAGCGTTTTGGTCCGTCGCGCATGACACTGGGATGGGATCAGACATAAACATAGTATGGTCAAATCGAAGGAACTAGCGTCCACCTTTCTGTACATGTCCTTTTCTTTTCGCTTTTTTCTCCCCTTCTTCGAATCTGCATGATCCGTTGATTGAGGTAACATTTGGACTGCTTCTACGTTCCCAGGTGGCCCCTCTTGCGCATAGCAAAGTGAAAAGGCAATCAATTTCTGAGGGATGAACAGCCCCAAGTGGCAACTAATAACAATTCAAACTGGAGATTTTTTGCTTTTGGTTGTCAATTCTATTGGGAAGGCGTGTTTGGATCCAAATATAAGGACGCTTGAACAGGACAGGTAGCGGCAGGAAATGACCGACATACGCATGCATGTGTATTTCTCCCAAAACGAAAGTACAGTACTCATAATATTTCTCTCTATTTTGTCATCTTTTGACGTCTGAACTGTATACCCTCCACGCCCCCCCCCCCCAAAACACACACACACACACAGAGAACTGCCTTCCCGTATGTCCACGCAAGACCAGACCCTCCATAACCCTCCACGTCACTGTTATGCCCCCTTCAACATGTACGCTCTAGAACGACCCAAACGTAACGTGCCATCTAATTCTGAGGTCCCATTTTTGATAGTGAAAGGAGGGAAGCTGCAAGCAAGTCCCACATACCTTTAGACAAAGAAGTGACATGTATTAAAAAAAAATGCATCTCCTTGACAATATACGTTGGTGACAATATTTAGAAATTGAATTCATGGAAGTTTTCACAGATGACGGATCTTTGCCTATATGTGTTTCCATTAGAAACGTAATCTGATCTTTTGAAGAAAATTATTTTGTTAAAGTCGATAAGAGATTCAGTGAAAACATTGTTTGTCACAAAATACTTGTTGTTGTCGTTGGATTTTTTTTTTTTGGGAGCTTGATTCGTGAGATAACCTTTGATTTAGGGTAAGTGATTTATATGTACAAGACAAGTTATGTGCATTTGGTTCGGGAAATTTGAATTGTGCTTTCCTTCACTATTATTGTTTGGTTAGATCGAGGGAGGATAAGAATTTAATTTGTCCCCTCCCCTCCCTGGAGTCAAACCAAACATGGAAACAATTATCTCTCTCTTCGCCCCGCCTCCTCTCCCTTGCATATAAGATATAACCAAAATTAGGATCTTTTACATATGTTTCTTTTTTTTGGGTTTATTTTGGCATATATAATAATTAGTCATTATAAAAAATGTGAATTCAATTTTTCTAATGCGTCAAAAATTGAAGTTACTCAAACGAATAAGTGCGCTGGGAAAAAAAAGAAAAGGAGCAAGTACTACTCGCAATAATTGAGGTTATTTTGACATAGCTTACGCGTAGAGGCCATTTTGTTCTCGGGGTCAAAATTTTCAGCAGTTATATGCTTACCTTAGATTTCATGGAACACGCTCAATCCCACATATATATTATGAAGGCAACTTTCTCACATCCACTTACAGGAACCGTTGTGACGTCAGTAATGGAGCTGCGCGCTTCCCTTGCGTCGCTCACAGGTCTTTTTAGCCGCAGATACTTTCTGCCCTTGTCATGCAATTGAATATATAGATATAATAATCTTTAGAACTAGCTACATAAATCATGCAACGTCGTTATGCTATATCACAACTAAGTCTTCAGATAATTTGATCAAAAAATCTTGGTACAATAAATTTACTTAGTGTTTTTCAGTCTTTTAATTTCATTTTTTTTAAAAGACTTTGTACTGTTTGATCTATTCCACTTATTGGCACACCCAATGATGCATTTGATTATATAAATATAATCTCTATCCTCATGTAAATCTGCAGCTGGGTTTACCACTTCCCAATGATGGACCCTTTAATTAGGCTAGCTGCTGCTTTCAATTCGATCTCAAGGATGAAATATTTAAGCGTACAACGTAACGTACAAGTAGAAAATAGTCAATATTATATTTCACCTTTTTCTTGACAGCTAGCCAGGAGTTGAATAGTTAATTATCATGGCAATAGCAACGTAGCATTTTCCCCTTCCTTTACGTAATTTGGTCCCAAAACGTTTCCGTTTTGTTTTGTTTTATAGTTCCGCGTTGCCCAAGTTAATTAGCCCATGTCCTGCGTGCTTTTATCTGAGTGAAGGAGACTATATATACAGCATCTGGGTCCCTCCCCCCACTGGTCTCTCATGAAAATCATATATTCATCAACACCCATTAAAACTCTCAAAGAAATATCAGATTTCACGTGATGTGTCCACTGATATATCATCTATGGACCCACTTTGTTCACTACTTAGATCATATATAACCCATCTCGTTTTTCTTATGCTTAAATAAAACCATCGATCGCCTAGAAACAAACACATATTTTGGTTCTTATCATTAACCGTAATATATAACTCCGATCCCTATTATTGCCTCTACTGCACCAACGCAGGCTAGCTGGCTCTTAATAGATTCCTCTCATTGGCACGTGTCCTAAAACAATATAGAGTCTAATGTGTATAGTTATCTAACATGTATGATCATATCAAATTCTGCACATAACTACTCGTATATAACTTAATTATATTTATTGTACGTATCCCTTCCATATCTCTCTTTATATGTGCAATGCAGTATAGGATATTCATTATTGTATTAATTTTTTCCCCCTTTCAATTCAAGAGCTCAACTACTTTTTAATTATATTTGCAACCATACTACAGAAAATAATGCCATTAATAACGGACGACCTTGCCGCAAAAATGCACATGGACGGAGCATCCGTGAAGAAGAGGAATATCACTTGCTGAAAGGAGAGGCAAAGTCAAAAAAGTATCCCCAAAAATGATAAGAATTTCATGGTTGAAGTTACTGGCTTGCCACTGCAACCATGAATGCAGAGATTGGTGGATTAAATAAAAACATGTGTACACTTTGTGTTCCAAGTACATACTATAAATAAGCATATGGCGCCGTTGGCAAAAAGTAAGAAAGAAAAAAGAAACAAGTATAAATAAGCATGCCTCATAATGAGTCTTCCAAGATGGTGAATTTAATGAAGCCATATATAACGCGCTAGAAATTCCCCAAGATTGATGCCTCTTGAGCTGTAATTGGGCCAAGTTCAACTCCTGAATTATTATCTTTTCAAGGTTAATGTAAAATATGTCTACTTTGTGTTTTACTTACAGATCAGGAGAGATCTTGCAATTCCATATCCCAATAGGTAGGAGAATTTTTAGATGCTTTCCCTTTAAATTCACTTTTTTTTCCCGTATTCCATGGAGATATTTTAGGACATTTATCAACTACTCTCTTATTTTTATTACAGGCCATTCTCAACTAATTCTTCTATAGCAAAGAACAATAGTTAAGTAATTAAATCTGTTATATATTAATAAATTTTTCCAATTTTGCCTCTCTTTAATGTGATTTAATTTTACCAACTCTGAATCTAAATTAAAACAAGAGTAAAATGAGAAAAAATAATTAATGAGGTTATTGATGACTTGTATTTGGGACAAAAATTGCCTCTAGAATATGTTCTATAATAGAGACAAGAGGAGTAATTGAAATTGATAATTAATTTTGAAATTACGCTTTGAGATGGTAAATGTAAAATGGGTATACGGAGTGATCAAGGCTAATATAATTTCGGAACCAAACATAAGCAAGAAATGACACATCATGGGTAAATTGAAGGCTCGAACACACTCTCATCCACATGCGCTGGTCTCCCCGGCACTACACGCGCACGACTCTCCCTCTCCCTCTCCCTCTCCCTCTCCCACCCTCTCTCTACCACGCAATCTTATCTCTCTGATTCTCACACTCCTTTTCCATGTCACTATAAATAGAGTAACCTACCTGCTAACTATCCTGCAGTAGAACTTGGTCGAGGAAGCAATCATATGCACACACCACTACTATTTTATTATATCATGGCCAAGTACAAAAACAACAACAACATCATCAAGGACAGCAAGAAGAAAGGTGGGGGGGTGAAGCTAAAGATTATAATTGAAAAGCTGCAGAAAAGTCTGTTACTTGGAAAGAGATGGTCAAGTTCTTATGACGTCCCAGAAGATGTGAAAGAAGGCCATTTTGCAGTGATAGCTGAGGATGGTGAGGGGCCAAAGAGATTTGTGGTACCACTAAGATGTTTGACCCACCCTACGTTTTTGAGGCTATTGGAGCAAGCGGCCGAAGAGTACGGGTTTGATCAGGAAGGTGCAATTAGTATTCCTTGCAGGCCCAGTGAGCTTGAGAGCATATTATCGGAGCCATGGCTTAAAGAAGGAGAAGAAGCTTATGAAAATTCTGGAGTTAGCTGGAAGTCTGGAACTCTCGTCAAGCCATGCTTCGAAGCTCCTGCATATGATACCAACATGAAGAAACGGTTTTGCCAGTCTAGCTAATCTTTTGTTATGTCCAGTTTGAATGATTTATTTTTCTAGAGTGAAATCCATCCATCTGGTAGCTAGGCGTTGTCAACATATGACATATAGTACTGAAACCGATGCAGTTTACTCAGAAGGGTTAGACAAGATTAATTTTGAGACGCAGTATATCTCATTATCAGTCTCGTCCATTATCTGTAAAATTCATGATTAGCTATGGGAGTAAAATCTAGGCAATCTACTTTTGGAACAAAGCTAGCCCTGTCTGCGATATCTCCTGTAACAGACTATATTACAGAAAAGATGATGCAAAGATATTAGAATCAACAAGTTTTACAGATTTATTGATTATATGTTGTTTTAAAATATCGAGCGAGATATATATTATTTGATCTTTATTAGGATATTAATTGGTCTGCACTGACGAAGTTCAAACCTGAATTGGGAGAGAGATAGAGAGAATTAAGCTTTGCTGTTCTATATCCAAGGTGACTGCACTTTTTGGGCCATTTTCTATTTTTAGCATCAAAATGATTAAAAAGTGTTAGGAAATTGAAGGCAAAATGGCTTGTTTGCTTCCTCCAAAATCATTTATGATAGGATAGATATGGTTCATATGTTGCCGATCAACGTGGGGTCTACCTGCCGGTTTTGCCCCATACTGAGCGGTGATAGCATTAGGATTCCGGCAAGCATGCTGCATTAAAGTCTAGTGTTGTCATCCAAGACAATGACCAGCAATATTTAGGCCAATATTAGAAGACTGTTAAGCCTTAGCTGAGACCAAATCCTGGAGGTGATAATAGCCTTATTTTCGTGTCCTTTGCTTCCTAATGAGTTGTAAATATCTTTCCTACTGATTTTAAGAGTTGCCTCTGTGAGAGAGAGGGAGAGAGAGTTGTATTGCTTTCTCATTACCAGATCTGTTTATCTGTGAAACACAACACACATATATATAAGGTCGATGGGCAGGTTTAATTTGTCACCCTAGCTAGAGGAATTAATTATTCTTTTTATCAGGCATGTGCTTCATATGTATAACAAAATGTTGAGAAATATTATATGTTAGGTGTAAATGCATGTTTGATATAAGTTGGGCAAGTCTTGCATTAATAAAAGGAACATGATTGCAAAGAGTCATTGATTGCAACAGTCAAAAACTTCCAACTAGAAGGGCGCCTACTGGCTTATATATTGAAGGCGCCGCGACCTCATTTTTGACCCCTTTATGCTTGCCATCCCATAATTGCGTCATCCATGACACCCATAGATGAAGCTGATATGATTAACATCAAACCATGACTCACTCTCCTTGTTAGATTTTTTTTTTTTTTTGTTTTTGCTACAATTAAACATTAAATTCGACATCTTAGCAGTTGTTCCACTACCATCAAATCAGACATTCTAATATTTATCAACTCAATACATCAAGTAAATCTAAGAGGGGAAAAAATAGAACGTGCGGAGTCTCTCTCTATATGTTGAGACCTCTCTCAATATATATAGATGAGCGGGTGGGAGAGAGGCAACAAACAAACGCATGATAGTAAGTAATATCTCTTTGTCATCCCAAAATGAGATAAACAACAAACTTCGGTCACATAATATCTTTGAGTTTCATCCTGGTCAGCCTCAGATAATTCGTTGAGCCAATCAACTATATGACCATGTTTGTTGGCCAAAAACAGAAAGAATGAACAAGTGTGTCAACTTTATGGGGTGGTGGGTTGATATTTTTTATTCACATAGACGACGTTGTTCTGCCCCTTAAATCACCAATATTGAAATCTGCTTTGAACTTGGCCACTCGGATTTATAATAAGTCCAGATGTTGACGCACTTGACTTTGATCCGTCTGGGAAAAAAAAAAGATGGGTTTTTGGTCTCTCACTGCTGGCAATTTATACTGTGGTTCATATGGCTTATGGCTTTTAATTCCTTGGTGAATTGATAGCGGATATGCATATGCTGATCTGGATGGATGTGGAGAGCGCTTATGTTATTTTGTGACTTGCACGAGCCCATCATTTCTTTCAAAGATTAGAAGCAAGAATTCGTAAACCCAAATTTCTTTACACCAACTGATAATTGCCTGAGTTAAAATCCAAAAGAATTAAGTAGTATGACTTAAATTCATAGGCAATCGTAAGTATTTTAGCTAAACGGAGTGTTTCCCTGCGCGATTCATTTAATGGTTGTTCGGCGTTTGCAGGTTCTACACTTGCGCTGCGTGATGATGAAGATTTTGTCTAGGACTGGAAACACAGTTCCACATCGGGGAGTCATCCCGTGAGTAAATGAGGGAGCAGCTATAAAGGCCATGAAGAACCACGAAACAAAGCATACCTTTCTCGGCCTTTTGGCTAAGATCAAGTGTAGTATCTGTTCTTATCAGTTTAATATCTGATACGTGGGCCATTGTCCCACATGATATTAAATTAATTTCTTTTGGGGGAGGGTCCGCCCCAGTAGCTTGCTATTGCGACCCTCAAGCGTCGCCCATGTGCTGCACTACTGCACGGGCCTGGCGCACCCTACCAAAACTAAGTCCAAACTTCGTCTCGCTTCAATTTTCGTATTACGTCTTTCTTTGTTTTTGTCCAATTTTTCTTATCTTTTATTCCGTCGTCTGTTTAGAGAGGCCAGTTTCCAGATAAGAAAGCGTCTTCGACTATATTGTTCGGCCCGAATTGGTTAATCTTCACATAGCCTGTCCTTCGATGAACTTTGGGTTTTGAAAGTGGCTGAGGCCCGAATGAAAGAGAGAATTTGTGTTCGAAAATTGTTCGTAACATTCCTATATGAAACATTAACTTTTCTACTTCTTTTGAGTTATGATCAATATTATCGATCTTTTTTTTTTTTTTTTGCCAACGATCAATATTATCGATCTTAAATTCTATGTTGGTATGGGATTCGTGGTTTAATTATTTTTCTAAGAAAGTTAAAGGCATGTGTGTTGTATCCTTCGAAATAGAAAAATATGTGCAAAGCATGTGGAGTTGCGGACGGCACACTGGTTAAATTAAACTTGAGTTTTTTTTTTCCTTTTAACTTTTTATTGAAACAGCATCACACCAGAGAGCCTTCACGCCAATTAACTTCATTGCGATTAGCGTCTAAAATCACAGTGATACTCAAACTTTAGGCCCCTAGCTTTAAATTAAGGGAAAATATTCCCATGTCATATTCCGTAAATCAAGATATATAATACTACTTCTGGTTCTTAATATAAGATATTGCTTGATTTTTATTTTGATTCTAAATATAAGACTCTAATCCACTTTGTCTCTCATATTTATATATTTTTTTTACAAGAAAGTCATCCTAATAATAATAATTGTTATAACCAATATACTTGATTAGTAATGATATTTTAGAAAAGACAACACATATTTATTATAAATAACTAACTTAATTTATCTTTTTAATCTCTTCAAATTAATCAACTAGCTCATATAACTAAAACCGGATTGAGTATTTATTATAAGTTTATTATTATTTAATTTGGTAAGATTTTTTTCCTGCATATTACTTTCTTTTATTCATAAGTATAATAAGGGTCATTTGCACATGAAGTCCAAAATCATACATCCATCATTTTTTTATGCTACATCAGGTGAAAATTTTCTTTGCCAACTACATTAAGTGAAATTTTTTGGCCAAAAAAAAAACTAGATTAAGTGAAATTTAATCATTATTAGATCCATCTAGAGATGTTCATAAATCTCATATAAATATTTGATAAACAAGTACATATAATTTATTTTTTTTCCCATAAAAAATTAACTATAATGAAAGAAAACACAAATAAAAGACAATTTTTTTGGTCTAAAAAAGACATTTTTGAACTGACCTTTTTGCCCGTCTTCCCCAACCCCGAAATTCCTCTTCGGCCCGGAACACTCATGACTCATCCCCCCCCCCCAGTGCATCCTGACTCCTGAGTAGAGAAAGGACCTGCTTTTCAGCCAAGTGCGAGATCTAGTTTGTCACTTTTGTAATATCTCAAATTTTAGAGCTAAAAATTTATATGATGCGTGACAGGTTTAAATAATTAGTTAAGACCTCAGAAATATAATTTTTTATTAAAATTTTATTTTCAATTAAGAAGTTTAGGAAAAATTAGGAAAGGAATATTACTAAAGAGATACAAAGGCGGCCCATAATAATTAATAAAATTATAAATAATTATTTTGGGAAACAAATGAAGTTATGAAAGAGTTTATTTTTTCTGGTAAAAAAAAGAAAGAGTTTATTTTTCAAAAAAAGGTAAAGATAATTTAAAATCTAATTTCTTAAATTAAAGGCTTGTTTCTTAAGAAATTAAAAAAAAAATAGTTACAGGTTAATTTTTAGTCGAAAATTTTAAGAAAATTATTTTATTGGTTCAGGAAGTTATACGAGGAAGAAAATTCTTATAATATATCGAACAATTAAATTTTTATAAGAATAATGAAATTTACCAAACGGCAGGGTTGAAATAAAGATGCAAGTGAAGGGCAAAACAGTCTTTGCACTGTACCCATCTACACGTGTTACCTTTCACTACTGAGTCAGCAGCCACCGGCCCAAATTCCTCGTTTTTAATTTTGTTTGTTTGTTTTGGGGTGAAAGAAGGGGGTATAGCCCAGATCATCATTCTTCTAGGAACAGCTACGCCAGCAGAGTCGTGCTTTACTAGTTCTTCAACAGCTGCGGGAGGTATAGCCCCGATAGTCCGCTTCTCACTCATTGTGTGGCTCAAAACTGCAACTTTATGGGCAACTTGATTCCCCTCTCGATAAATGTGATTAAATTCTACCTGCTCTCACCTGAATCAGTTCTCTTAGCTTTTTAGAAAGCCTGTAATTTCCTTTAATAATCCCGTCCTTCCTGATTTCATCCACTATTTGCGCCTCATGGCATTCGACTTCAATTTGATCAAAACCTAATTGCGTACACAGTTGTAGTCCTTCTATAATACCCCACGCTTCAGCTTGTCTGATATTACCATCTTCCAACTTCACTGAGTATCCACAAATCCAGTCCCCAATTCCTTTCCTCTCGCACGACACGCACTCTTCCCTCCTCCTTGCAGAGTACACTTCCCTCCTACTTCACTCACACACAACACCTTCAACGAAAAAAGGCGGAGGGGGGGAGTTAGATCGAGAGAGTGAGAGAGCGGCTGAGGAAGAGAGGCGAGAGAGGGCAAAGGAAAGGCGTGATGAAGCAGAAGAAGGGAATGGAAGCCACATGCAACATTAGGGTCTGATTAAAGGCAAGCCCCTAAGCCGAAGAGATTATAGCTTCTCTATTTTTTTTTTTTCCGATTAGATAATTTCTGCTGGGAGGGGGTGATTAGCTCTGGCTCTGAGTAAGAGAGAATAATGATTAATGGCTGAAAACTGTAACTAGAGATAGATTAAGTTAATATTTAGTATTGCATGTGGTTGATTAGCTGTGTTTTGTGGTTTGTTGCTGTCCGAAGAGATTATAGCTTTGTGTATGTAGACTCTGTTTTATGACAGTGTAGAAGTCGGAGAACTTCTTTTGTGTTTGGCTTGCTGATTGTATTTCTGATTTTGTGGCTATTCTACAACGAAATTCTTGAGTTTAAGATGAATAATTTTGTATTTAAATGGGAATGCTATAGAAGAACTACACACACACACACACACACATATCTCTCTGTGTGTGTATGTGTTCAGTTTCTTATGTGAATTGCTGCATATTGAGTTGTTAAATGGAGTTATGTGCCTATTCCCTGTTCGGTCAAATTGATTTAAAAGAATTAGAATTTCTGTGATGGGTCCAATTAATTTAGTATTGCAAATAAAGAGTCACTAAGCTAATCATATGCATATAATAAGTATATATATTTGGTGCTCTAGTATGTTAGAAATTGATTTCTCAATGCCAGAATGATTTTACGGCTGTGGGAAATATGAGGGAGAGGAGAAAAGGAATCAGTTAAATAGTTGAGAAGCTAAAACCATGTTAAGGGCTTGTTGTTTATCATTTTGAATGCTTAATATATAGATATATATATTCTTTTAAATAGGCAAGTCACTGCTGTAAGTGTAGAAAGATACTTGGATTTGTTGTCAAAAGCTATAGAGAATTTACTGTTAATACTTTATTGTGTTGACCCGGGTGATATGTTAAAAATGAGATGGTGTCCATAAAAGAACTAACGTTTAGAAAACCAAAGTATGAGTAATTGGCAAGTTGATGAATGACATTAAATCTGAAAAAAATTTCAAGAATAATTTACTCCATGAATGTGAAATGTGTGAAATACTTGAATGGGATGATTATATAGTTGTATGAATGTCATATAATGGATGTGCCAATACATGCTCATTAATTTTGAATGTTTGGAAGTTGATATAAACTTATGGTTGTCACTAATATTAAATGCTAGCCACTGATTATAATGGAAGAAAACAACCTAAATTTAGGAATTCTTATTTCTACTAAGAGTAGCTATAGTTGCTGCGTGAGAATTCATTATTTTGCTATTACAACGCCTTGTTATGTAATTTTGAGGCTAAGGATATATACTGTTTCGTCAAGAATGATAATGTGTCGATGAATGAATTATTTAAATGCTGAAAGAATTCTTAATGAAACTGTGAGAAGTTTGCTTTTTAAATGCCAAAAGGTTGGTGATTAACATTTAAATGCATTACTTTGAATTTGAGACTTTTAGAGTGATGATGTGTTGGTTGAAAATTATAAAGGAAATGGAATGGCATGACTTATGATATGGTTAAATGGGCTAATCTTGGGAACGGAAATATGATTTTTCTTGCTATGATGGGTTGTTTTTTGTGTTGGAAACTGAAATTTGATAAACACATGCTGGTTGCTATTCCTGATTGTTTAGCAATAGTCCCAATGGTTAAATTAAGGTTCTATTATTTCTTTGGCATAAGATTTCAGCCATAATTAATAAATTTGCTCCCATCTAGGTCTATATAGTGGGGTGCTAGAGTATCAATGTCCGGCGGAGCTTCCCTGGAAAAGATGATCCAGCTCTGAATCCTTATGGTTTCCTGTTGCATGGTCGCCGTTCATCTCAGTGCTGGCTGAGTTTAGGCTCTGTGCCGAGACCAAGAGAGGTAATCATGGTTCCCCTTCTCCTGTATTCGAAACTCTATTCATTTTTAGTTACGTGACATCGGTTGAATTATCTGCTTAGATGTTAAATCTGCCTTCCTTTTTTTGGTTCTTGACCATGGGTATTCTTATAGTGGCTGGAATCTCTGTTCAGAGCGAAGATTAACTTCCTATTTTGGTTTGGTGTTATTTTAGTTAGTTTTATGGCGTGAATCAAATTGGGAAGATTAGTTTAGGGAAAATATGATATCTGCCAATTTTGCCCTATGTTTGGATAGCGAGTTGTGAAAGTCTATGTGACTGTTTCGAAAAAAATATTGGAAGCTAAAGTTGAGCATTCTAATTGTGCAGTATGAGCATGAATATGATATCTGCTTTTTGAGTCAGTTCAAGTTAGTATTTTTTTTAACTATATATTTACATTGCGCGTCTCGCCTAGAACATTAAGCAATTGAGATGGGAATTTAGCTCTGTAGATTGTTGAATAGCCGGCTATATCTATATTTGCATTGGCCTATTCTTAAATTCCTTCGTTTAATTTACTTGAACTAATTACTATGCTTGACTTCTTCCTCTGCACTTTAGATCCTTGAAGAATGACAGTTTTGAAGCGGTATGTGATGAGATTATTCATATCCATAAAGTACATTACTGCGAATGTGGTAGACAGAAACAACGGGCGGATTGTTGCAGCTGCTTCAACTGCAGAGCATGCCATTAAGGAATCAGTAGAGTGTGGCCGGACTTGCAATGCAAAAGCAGCATATATTGTTGGAGAGGTATTGGCCATGCGGCTCAAGGTTGAGGGACTTAATGACGGACAGGGACGAGGCATCCACGTGAATGTAAACAAGGAAATAGAGAAGAAAGGCTTCAAGAGCCAAACCAAGGTCTGGGCTGTGGTTAATGCTCTGAGGAGTCATGGAGTTAAACTCATCCTTGATGATGATAACCTTGATGCAAGTAATTCTTGGTCGAGCCATTAATCTTCTCAAGATTCGTTTGGTCCATGTATGTCTACTAAGAATGAAGATGTCATGTATGTATTTGAAAATTTTGTATGTAGAACCGCAGGGTCTTGTCCTGAGAATGACACTTGCAATAAACAAAAGTATACATGGAAAGACGAATTTAACCTCAAATCGTGCTACCAAAATTATGATAGGCATAGTTATCAGATGATTCTCAACAGGGCATCGGATTACGTTTAGATGTACATTTGGATTAACGCTTAACAGGTTCGGTTGTTTTGGATGCAACCTGTTGACTTCTGTGATGTGGGTTGTCGGATGTTAGACGTTGCATTTATATCGTGCGATTGACACAGCAATACTATTGCAATGAAGTTAACAGGCGTTTATTTTATGATATTGATTGTGATATTCATAAATTGATATGAAAATGAGATGAATTCGATCACATTATAATTATCTCGCTCAAGTTGAAAGTGAACTTATTTTAAAGAATGAATTTGAATATTAGAAATGCTTCTACTTGACTATTTGGTAACCTCCCAACCTAAAAGGTGAGGCCACGGCACGATGGCGAGGAAGTAAGGAGCGTCATCTGCGACGAAAATGAAAATGGGAATTGTGCTTTTTAGTAAAGAAACAAAAGTGAAAGTCTTGTGTAGGGGTCATCTTCATAATTGTGTCCGCTTTATGTTTTTCCAACTTCAAAGGAAATTTCTATCTGCCTCTCAAATATCAATGACTTGAAGCCATGCAAGGACTTTGTTCCTGTGATGTAATGATAATGGTAATGGTAAGGAAGGAGGGGAAAAAGCAAAGTGGGGAAAAAAAGTGACATCGAACTTTGAAATTTGCGCCTTCAGCTCCATGACTTTTCCATCCCATCGAGCCCACCTGTACAGCGAGCTCCTTAATTGCACAAGAGTTTTAACTTCAATCATTCATAAACTAATCATGGCTATTGACCGAGAGATCCTCCGAATCGCAAAGAAGATTAGCAGATTTCGCCCGATAATTTTGCTTGTTCAATTTTCAATTCCGTTTTTGTTTCTGTTTTGTGCGCGCGATGTGATTTCTGTATTTTAGAATGCTTGTATTGCATTTTAAATTTGTGTGTCTGTAAATATTTCTTTATTGAAAGTGTACTGGCGGACCCTTTATATGTGGCCCCTTTCTCAATAAAAAGTTGTTTCTTCTTTACTGACTGTACTATTTTAGGGCGTAATTTTTTTGTGTTTGGCTTCTTGTAAAGCAAAACCATCATTGTGAGAAATTGCGATGGCATGTTGACATAATTGATAATTCACATCGGAAAAGGGGGGGAACTGAGCACTTTGAGAAGTTTCATAGTAATGAGTCGTGTAAAAAGTCATTGAGAGTTACAATAATTGATTGGAGAAGCGGAAAAAGCATGGAAAGAACCCAAGGCATATTCTGAACTTTCTGATGAAAATCTTTGAAATGCCCTTGGAAAAAAGGGGCTCATAATCTGCTTTGCACTTTCCTTTTCTTTTCGTTCCTTTTTTCCCCCCCTTTATCCCCTTGACATTCTTTGATATGCCCAGCACTGCTTAACCTCACATGGGTTTGTGTTTGAACTCATGCAATACCATCATGTCTAGCACCTAAGGTAAGGAGAAAGACATAAAAGGTGGGGGAAAAAAAAATGTAACCATATGGTGAGTGGAATCCCAGAAATGCATATACTTTTACTTTGTGAATATACGAAAAGCACACTTGCGAATACACACTTTAGTTAGCAATAATAAAACATATCCTGAAAGTACTCCATCATTGGATTAGATCCGCTAGTAATTGAGTTTGAATAATATAGAAAAATGCAGGTGTTCAGTTTAATAAGATGGATCTAGTTGAGAAGTGTGAGGTTTTATATTACTCAGATAGAGAAACTCATGGATTTGGAACGGGTTTTGTTGGTTTTGGTGTCTCACACACAGAAGTTACCTGAGAATTTCTGAGAAGGTTGGTGGCTCTTTTTCCAAAGGCAGACAAAAATGGAGGGGAGGTTTGAGTGCGTGGTGTGTAGGGGCACGGAGGATCATCATGACATGCAACATAACTTGATGCATAAATACCCATTAAATTCACATCATGATTGATATCGCAGGTTGGTGCTTTCTAGAGCCATGAAGCCCCGCACGTGCTTCCCAAATTGAGTCATTTATAATTGATTGCTTCCTTTTAATCCTTTTCCGCTACCCTTGTGGGACACACTATTTTATTGTGGTCAATTGATAATTACTATTTACTACACCCTTAACAGTCTTTAAGATATGGTTGTCAAACATATCGTCTTCAATCTTTTAGAATGTGATTTTTGTTCCTGTAACAAAAACCATACGAGAATTGTAGAGAATCAGTACACAATCATTCAAACGACTTTGTTGTGCGTTTTGTTCTGTCACTGAAATTGAATGAATGCCTTGGCACCGTCTGGTGGCGGTTTGCCCTGCTATGCCACTTTGTATGGCTAGGGTGCATAAGGTGGGCACAGACATTGGAATAGTACACACAGTACCATTAATGCGATCAAGAATAACGTGCCAATTCTCATCATCCAGCCCTTTCTCTCACACCACAAAAGAAAAAGTAACGACGATTACGATATCTCCATGAATCTGAGCTCCCAGCCCTCAACCCAAATTCCCCCATTTTCCCAAAGAAACTAGTCAGGTTGCAGAAGAGGCCCAGGAAGGAGCCTAAATTGGAATCGTATGGAAAAAGAAAGTAAAAAATATAGAATAGAATGAATAAGCAGTGACCGGCACTGCCCTGAACCGTTGTGTCCCCACAGGTGGATCTCATGGTAATGCCCTGGCTTAAAGCTTGAAGCCACTAACGAACCTGCCCTTCAGAATTTGGCAGAGTCTCTCGGCCATGAATAGGACAAAATGCACAGGCCAAAAGGACAGAATAACTGATAGAGAGTGACCGACTCCATCACCCATAGGACAACTAATATGAGCATGCTTTGCTTAGGCCAGGCGTGATGGTTTTCTATTCGCCTTCCCAATTATTGCAACATTTTTAGCTTCACGCTCCATTGAAAGAACCTGAATCTGAATGGGCAGAAAGTAACATCCCAGAGTGGGATACAGAAGCCATTGTCTTTATCATTTACATCGTCTAGTTATAGTTATTCGCATGAAAACCTTTCTGCTAACCACAAAAGCAACTCTACTTCCCTACCCTGCATCCATTCACTCAAGCCTATCCAAAAGACACAAAAGGAAAAAAAAAGAAAGAAAACTGTATTCCCCTGCATTCTGGTTAAGACATAAACATCTGAAGCCTCACATGAGGGAGCAGGCATTTGGGTTTTCGTCGCTGAACATCTGTGGTGGATGCACTGGCTCCATATAATAAACCGGACCGCAGGTATACCCATACGCATAGGGAGGCAACATAAAATCCATCCTGTGCTGCCCTAGTTTCCCTCCGCCGTCGCCGCCGTCAGCTTCCTCCTCAGCCTTCTTCTCTCCACCACCTTTCTTCTTCCCGCCGCCTTTGCCGCCTCCTTCTTTTTCACCCACGCCATCTTTCTCTTTCTCCTTGTCCTTGTCCTTCTTGGGGGGAACCACCTCAACATTCCTCTTCAGCCTCTCCTTCAAACTTTCGACAAGAGCTTTCACGTCCATAGACCCCTTCACCGTCACAGTTTCCTTGTCCTTGTCTATGGACAGTTCCTTAACTCCTGGATTGCCATTGTATAAGCCGTCAAAAGCATTCATAAAAAAAACGAAACAGGGGATCGGGCAAATAAGAACTAGGAAACACGATCAAACCATCCCACCTTTGGTTTTGGATACTGTCTTGCGAATCCTCTCGATGCATCCCTGACAGTGTAATGCCATCTTCAGAACTGCCGTTGACTGCTGAGGCTGTTTTATTAACAAAATAAAAATTATCAACGACATACACAGGATTTTGGATTGGATACGTATAATGAACAGAATGCAACTTAAAATAGAAATGGTGCTCTAAAACTGGGGCTAAATGTGAGGAGTTGACCTCTTTGGATTTTTTATCGTCGGGATTCTTCTTCTCAGACTTGTCGTCGGGCTTCTTCTTGTCGTTTTTGGGGTCCTTGTTGTCCCTCTTGGGCTGGGGAGAGATAAGGTCCACCTTCTTCTTGGTTTTGTCGGCGAGCTTGTCTCGGAGTTTCGACGGGTCCACATTACCGGTGACCGTCACCTTGCCGGAATCACCATCGACTTTCACAGTTTCCACGCCTTTAACAACAATGTGGAATTTCACTTGAGTGGAGTACAAAGACAGTAAATAGGATATTAAAAAGGGAAACCGGGGGGGAGGGGAACGGTAGAGAAATTAAAGAAAACAAATAGGTCTTTAAGTGTGAAAATCAGAGGAGTAATGGAATTATTTGGAGACAGAGAACAGGAAGGAAATATTGGGAGGAAGAAACTCCGTGATCGACAAGAGGGAAAGTGGAAAATCGGGGAAGAGCGAGTGAAATGAAAGAGCGAAAAGGGCGCAGACCTTGAAAGCACCTGAGGAAACGAGTGATCTTGGAAGCACAGCCGTCACAATGCAAGTCGACCTTCAAGACGACGGTGGCAGGAGTAGTTTCGCCTTTCTTGGCGGCATCGTTCTTCTCGTTTGTTTGGCCATCGTTCTGGGTCTTCTTCTTCTGCAACATGACACAAGGATCAGCCAAAAAAGAAAAAGAAAGAAAGATGAAGGTTGGGGGGGGGGGGGACGGAGGGTGGAAGGAGGGAATTCACCAGACCTGGCCCATGGGGATATTTGGTGGGAGATGGAAGTGAGGGACTGAGGGTTGGAGGGTGGTGGAGAATTTATAAGGAGGCAGAAAGAGTGGCCGGGGTGGAGGGGTTAGTTACGCGAGGATAGTGGGGAGTGGTAACTGGCGAGATAGTGCTCGGAGTTCAAGTGTTGGAGTTGAAGACGAAGGCATCATCATCATCATCATAATATACGACAATGTGATGCATAAGCATATGAGTCCGTAGGCGCCATTATGTGCATATTCCTATGCGTGACGTATTATGTGGGCACGACCATGATCAACGTCAATATAAAATTATAATCTTTTATCCACAAATTCTGAATAATATGTGAAGTTTTTCTGGCCAAAAAAAAATAATATGTGAAGTTTTATGCAACACATAAGTCGGCCAAAAAAAATAAAACACATAATATTACTTCTTTCGTAAAAGCTTAACCCGCATGAAATACCAGGTCCAAAAAAAAAGTGCATGAAATATGATATTAAAATAATAATAATAATAATAATAAAGGCGTACGTATGTTCTAAACGTTTACTTAGGAAATTGGGTAAGAGAAAGAGAATGGATGAACAAAAATGGTGTTTTTTTTGGGTCCGGGCCATAGTCAGAGTGTATAAGAAGTGTGGTGAAGGATGAATTATGTATGAGCCGGCCCAACTTCCAACTCGTGGAGCTCGACGTCAACAAATATTAGGCCTGGGAAGGGGAAATGTCATGAATAAGAGAGGCCCTTTTATATTATGGTTGTTTCCTGAAATCAGGCTGCATGCCGAAGTCGTTACGGGCTTCACCACGTTGAAGAAAAAAGGCCACCGGCCCAATCCCCCTGGAGAGGGGATGGTTGATAGATGATGAGGATTTCCAGGGTGGCGGACAAATATAGCAGAAAACCTTGAGATGAAGGATACCAAACAACATGCTTAGTTCTCCGTATTCATTCCCCTTTTGAATTACTGACTATCAAACACAGTCCGTTATACTGTGACCATTCATTATTCTTCAATACTCTTTCATCGGTGGTGTCACTTGCATTGATACGCATCACTTCCCATTTTCGATGCTGCCTTTCATTGGCTGCTTGTTGGGTCTGGGAAGCGAAATGATCACGTGAGAAGGGCATAAAGTTGGGCCCAGGCCCAGTAGGCCCACCGGGTGCTCTCCCTGTCCTGGGACCCACACCCACACGGGGACGTGGCCATGTCCTGTGATGCGTCAGATAATCCTCCACGTGGCGTCCACCCATTAGGGGGGCCGTCAAAACCCACGCGCTCGTCATCCTTTTAATCACGTGGCCTCAGCCCAGACTGGCTGTGGGGCACCCCGGCGGGTACGCGCGCGCCTTTCTATCCCCTTGCGCATCGCAAACAATAATTGGATATCTTTGAATCCTTATCCCCCTCCCACGCCACTGTACAATTCAACTTTACAAAAATCAACGCACCTAAATATTGCCGACTAGTCTCGTGTTTCTTTTAATTTTATTACAAATAAGAACATTTCAATCGCTATTATAAAATTTAGTTTGTAATTAGAAAAACACGCCACTTGGAATTCATAACCAAATAATTTTATGGTTCATATGATGACGACACTTTGGTGGCCAGTGCTAGATGATCAAATTTTGCCGAGAAAGTTAGTCAAGCTTCTCGACACTAGTATAGCAAATTCATAAAACTTCCTTATAAATAAATTTTCTATCGGACACTTATTTATAATTTTTTTCTTAAAATAAAGTATCGAGAACGTCAAAAGCAACGTTAACAACTTGGGCCAAAAAGATTAAAGAGAGCCTGTCCTATACACAAACATACTCATGGATGTACTATATCTATTTGCTGTCTTCTGTGAACTTTACTTTCTCTATATATATATACACACAAACACAGAGAGGGAGGGAGGGATGAGAAGGGGGAGGGCAGTAGGATTAGAATAGAGGAGAGAGAGACGAAACTTTTTCTCCGGTAATATAGAAGGATTAGGTATTGGTGGTATTATGAGGGGTTGATGCCATGGTGGCCTTTATCTGCATTTGCACCTGCACTTTGTTGCTCGCCTCTCAACCCTAACCGTCCAAATCAAACCAGAAGAGCCATGAGGTTGAGTCCTGCGTAATTAGGTGCAGGTGCATCTGCAGACAAATGCTATATTGGCTTATATGCGTATAACCCTGCTAGCTTCTTCCTGATGCGTTTCAGGACAAAAGGCTAAATCTCTACAACCTCTTTATATATTCATTTCTATTGTAGGATCGACAAGTAATAGCAGTAAAGATGAGAAAGTTTGAAGTTTGATGGACGCCGCCAACCTTCGATCTGTCTTTTAAGGTCCTTTCTTCACTTAGATCTACGTTTTCGACACTGCAAATAATATTCTCACACAGTAACTATCTATCAAGGTGTATTTATGTATAGTTTCCCTGCAGATCCAGATGCAACTCATGGGTTTTTTTTGCTGTAAAGACAACTAATGAATGATTTAATTTAACCATCAATTAATTAAACATTATCAGGATTGACAGATCTCTTGCTAGCTAACTTGAGAAAATGATCAAAAATGGGAAAATTAATGAATGATTTCCGAAATGGACTTGAGGTTTTCGCTGAGAAATTTTAATGTACGTACGAGAGACGTACGGAAGAGGAAGAGTTATTGAGACACAGCGTACTGTGAAGCTGGGTAGCTGAAGATTGGTTTCTACTTGCAGTCTACTTCGTTTTCACAAGAGAATCAACAGTTATTTGTTGAATGCTTGTTTTTGTGGAAAGCGACTCTATCCTCGTGTTGGCCATATTCATACATATAGCTAGCAAGAGGAACATATTCCAGTACATGAGAGGGAAACCTCAGGTGTGTTTGTGACTGTGTCGCTATCGATTCTTTTAGTTAATTTGCTATATACGAACCTTTGTACAGCTATTTATATATGTCTAATACATATATGTATATAACGCATGATGTCGCTTGATGTTTCATATCTCTTGACTGATCCTCTTTGACCCAATCTGGCTTCCGAAAATAATCTACCATTTTCTTTTAATTTCTGCTTCGGCCGGAACGGAGCAAGAAATTGAAGGAGTTGAACTTCAGCCTAAAATCCCTAAGATCATTACATGAAAAAGATCCAGTTGCTCATTTGGTAAATAATTTCAATTCCTGTAAGATCCTCTCTTGGTTTGACATTGGTTTTGCGCGCGCGCACACACGCACACACATATATATATTAGTGATAGGACGTGTGGATCAGATTATAACTGAGCATCCCAGTATCCCACTATCATTTTACTCCAAAAAGTGAAAAACTTTCAATTGTAAATGGCTTTGAGATTAGTTCTGCGACTGAATATTCTTCTACCTAGCTATATAGAGCAATTTTTTGTCTGCACTTTCATACATGCACACGCATACATGCATACATATAAATATGTGTGTGTGTGTGTGTGTGTTTGATATTTAAATTTATTTTCCCACTTATTGCTTAGCAGAGTGGTTGATGTAGCTTCTTACGTCGATTTTTACTTATAATTAGTCTTTTTTTTAAGAGGGTTATCTGTCAATATTTTGTTAAAATTCAAAGAGGTAGTACTTGCAATGGATCAGAGTTTAAAGGAAAGGTTGAAATAGCAAATCCTCACTTATAGTTTCCTATCATTTACAGCTTGAAAATGAAGCTAGCTAGGTGAGTTCCAGAAAACAAATACAACTTCATCCGCACAACACTAGTACAGTAGTCGACAAAAAATGAGAAAGGGAAGGAAAAAGATCAGTTGGCGCTATTTCAAGAAGGCTTGCGAGTTAGATATGAACCTTTATTAGTATCTTACGGCTACAGTTTAATGAGCTGCTTATGATAATTCAAATCTAAACTAAATCTTTTACACGATTTGCTGGTCGCCACATCATGGCAGAAGGTGCCCGATCTGTCTCTCTATTTGTGTGTAATGTAAAATTGATTTCTGTAGGGTTTTAAGGAGCTTCAGCAAGGGCTATGTAAATTTCATAATAGCTAGGATCTACCTTTTTTTTTTTCAAGTTAAATCACAAGTTCTGAATTTCACTTACGTCCCATCACATTTTACCATCGGAGCCTAATAAGCTAAGTACTAATATGTACTAGCTGCATATATATACATTTCAAAAATTTTTATTATAAACCTATAACTAAGTATGTACAGTGGTTTGTATTAAAATATCACAAGATCCAAGCGGGCTTATAACGTAGCTAGTAAACTATAGGATCTGATGAGAAGAAACAAAATTAGAGGGACGTGACTCAAAGGCTGATAAAATTATAGAGATTGACAGATTAATTTTTCATAAAATATTTAAATTAAATTTTAACTATTTTGTCAAGTTTAGCAGATAAAGCAAATTGCAACCAAGATGCCAACATGTGGCAGCCTATTTTATTGGTTTTGTTTATTATTAACTAAATGTTAAAAGTCCTTGTAAACCTTTACTCGATCACCTTAACTGAGTTAGGTTAGACCACAAGCATACCAAGTCTTCTCACCGATAGTTTTATTCGTTCATAAAACTTATTTATGAAAAGACAGTAGTGTAAACTAAGCCAAGAATGGAGAAAAACAAGAAGATTCTTCCACCGGACTTGACTTGTAATTCAGTTTTTTATTTGATAAAGCCAAGGGTAGGGTTGGTTTCCAGATGCATGCTCCTTAAATTAATAAAATATGATTTGAGAGATGGTTGGATGGGATCAGCTGGGCTTATCAATAAAATGGATAAGGTTATCTGCCCTTTTTTTGGGTGTATTTCTCTTTTTTGGGCCAATATTCTGGGTGTATATTAGATACTGTTTCCTTCGCCCTAATGAAAATTAGAATTAAAATCATGGCAAGATGAAAAATGGATATATAGAAATATATGATAAGTTGTACCCAATTTAATACTCTCTCAGTCTTTAATATAAGACATAATTATTAAGTTGATTTTGCTCCTAGATATAAGACCTATTTTTCATATTTATCAATTTTTCCTAAATTACCTCTATAAATATTCCCTCAACCAAAATCAAGTAGAAAACGGAAGGAGCATATCAAGAAAAATGATTATGGTATTTTAAAAAAAAACATGTCATACTACATCCGGTCC